TCCCGCTCTGCTTGTCATTGGTCGAAGAGATCAGAAGTGCGCAGGCGCAGCAGAAACAAGAATGTTAGTCTCAGACTGAGAAAATGTTCTTTTCTCACTACTTGATGCAAAAAGCAGCATTGTGCCGAGCAAAATTCAGAGACAAAAATAGCAAGAAAACATTGCTGTCTGACGTCACATCGCTGATGCTGGGTCTGAATCAAATTGATTAAAAACTTCTTGAGAAACGTAATTTTGTCTCGACCAGAGATAAATTTTGCATAGCAGGGAGACAGAGAACATACTTTTAACAATCACAACACCTGCATTGCCCAGCCGTGAGACAAATTTTGTCTTGTGCTGATGCAATTTTTTTTGTAACAAGTAAATCATTCCCTGGGTGCCTGTCGTCTGAATTTTCAGACTAGCATGTACTCTGAATTTTACGACTACCAGGTAGTCTGAATTTTCGGACCAATTGGCAGTCTGAATTTTTCACCTGGCGGGTTTAAATTCTAAGCCGCCCAGGTAATAAAACTACCACTTTTGTCAAGATGTATATTATGTTTAGGAGACGCATGTTTTAAATTGCTGAGAAACATGGAATGCATGCACAAAATTGAGTAGTTGTAAAACAGCTCTTGTGGTTAATTGTAGCACCCAAAGTTGCGCAAAACTTTAACTTAATATGATAGTTTGCTGCGAGATCTTCCCGAAAAAAACCTTGTCCTCGAATGTAAGACTCTTATATTACCGCTAAAAGTCCATACCTAATAGACTACTTAGATCATCGGTAATGAAAAATCGGCCTAAAGACGGTAATATGGTATGTTTATTACCATATATTACTATAATACTTCGTACACGAGCGATGCGAGTTGACGACCCCTCGGTTCCTCAACATCGTGGGCTGCCAGGGTGATTCCGTGCGTAGAGGGTCATTTTGGATGTTCCAAATGTTCTTTTTTAAAGTTCAACTTTAGGGGCTAAATTTGGTGTAGATGGCATACATAGTACCCCACAGTACACCTCTGAGCGTGGCAGCGCTACAAGTTGACTTTTAATTTCACCCCCTATGAAATACGGCGGAATTTACAGAAATTATGACGGAATTTACAGATTACGGAATTTACAAAGCGAAGTGTTTAGACTCCTGACCCGCTGGGTTACAAGATAGGTAAAAACTGTTGACGGTGTCGTTTTGAGCATCCAAAATAGCGTTTTTCAGCAAAGGTTGTGGGAACTTTCTCCCTCAGATGGAGGAGCTACGGCCCGAAACGGAATTTACATCTATTTTTACATCCTTACCGTTTTGAACAATTCTGACGTCCTGGAAGCGTCGTTTGACCGCCCCTGGTCCCGCGGGCACGGGTTTCTGGAAGCGTTTTCGATGTTCTCTCGATCGCAAGTGGTCGCGAGGTTCTAAAACGAAAAGGAACCCCTGTAGACCGTCATTTGTGAAAGCAGCATAGGTCACATGGTCACACGGTGGACATTTTCCCATAGGCTGTTTCGGGTTCAACAAGTGATAATACAAAGGTCACCTTTCGTAATTTTGTGAAGAATAAGTCAAGGAAGAGAGAGAAATAGCCAGTTTTCTTTTGATGTGGTTGAGTCATATACTACATCATGGCAAAGTTGTCTTATAGGTGTTGGTGACCATGACGGAACTTACAAAACGACACTTAAGCAGCTTACGAAACTTAAAAAAACAAAAGTTAGATTGACTTATCCACATGAGGACATGGCCTTCGTTTAGTAAAACAAATTTGAATTGCCCAAGCTACCAAATCAACCTCAGTTCAGGCGCAAGGCCCCGGTGACCTGAAATGACCCCCTACGCACGGAATCACCCGCCACCGCGACCCCAAGCACTGGCCCGACCCCACGCGCTTCGACCCGGACCGCTTCTCGGCCGAGGCGTGCGCCAAGCGGCACCCGTACGCGTACCTGCCCTTCAGCGCGGGCGCGAGGAACTGCATCGGCGGCCGCTACGCCATGATGGTCATCAAGACGACACTGGCCGCCCTGGTGCCGCGCTACCGCGTCGACGCCGTCCCGGACGGCCACACGGAGCCCGCCGACTTCCCCTTCACGTTCGACGTGGCCTCCAGGATGCTGGGCGGCGTGCGCGTCGTCTGCACGCCCCGCGCCGCCTAGCCAAGCTCCTGCAGTACCGCGGGAACACCCCGCACACCACACGATTCTGTACACACTAAATGTCATGGGACTTTTTTTGTCCCACGAATGATGCAATTTTAAGCACATCCGGTGGTGATGCAATGTTGTGTCCGCCAGGCGGCACAAGTTGTCTAGTGAAAGTACAAGTTGCAGCTGGCGCCGGACAAAATGTGTCACCAGACGGGAACAAAATTGTATCAGCGTCGGATGTGCTTAAAATTGCATAAATCGTGGGACAAAAAAAGTCCCATGACATTTAGGGTGTACACATTTTGTCGAGACGTTTTGCACAAATGTGTTTCTGATTTAGAATAAAATATGAGAAACATGTGCATTTATTTTCTCGTCCGAAAAGTCCATTGGCACGAAAAACTGCACTCCTAATTTTCTACTATGCAATGCCGAGCAGTCATAATACTACGCTAATTCTCAGTACCCTGCAACACAAATTTATCACCAGAGAACTTTATTCGTCATATGAACAAACTAACCGTAAGTTACTGAAAACCCTTCACGACCGGCTACAACCATCGCACAGTGGTTTAAAATCCTGTTTTAGGGGGAATAAATCGGTTTTTCAAAAGTGTCGCAGGGGGCATTCTGGGGGGTGGAAACGAACTATAATACTCTAATACAATATAAAATGACGTTTATAGATTTTTGCTGAGCGAAGCGAAGCACCCTGTTGGGGAATTTAAACGTTCGAATTGTCCGCCTCCCCCCGGATACCTTTAGTTTACCTGTGCGGCCAATGCGGCCGATTAAATACCCTCCAACCGGGGTGGTGTGATCCGGAGTAAAGTCCACTCCCGGTGGCGCGGCCCGCGACCAGCCACCGGTATGAATGAGTGTGACCTACTTTACCGGGCGGCAAGCGCGTGAGTCACCGGGCGCCTAGAGGTAGACAACCGCGCGGGGCGTGAGTACGCGTGCACCGCGCGTCGGCGCGTGCTGTTCAAGCTGTGCTCTAGTGGGCCGTGCGCGTGAGGGCGCGTGCACCGAGGCAGCGAGGTTCACCTCGCTGACAATAGGTATCTTATTATTGATCTTAATCTTATACCTATCTATGTATACATAGTCCGAGGTCAATAGTCCGAGGTCAATAGTCCGAGATCAATAGTCCGAGATCAATACTCCGAGGTCAATAATAATTTTCAAAATATTCACTTCCTAATTTACTACTGATGAAAATGCATTTCCATCTCCAGCAAAATCCAGCTCAGCAGCGAGGCCGAAGGCCTTCCCCTGGCTAGTTATATGACGCTGGGAGCCACTGGGAAGGGTTTGATTTTAGTCTTTTGTATTTTGATCAGATTCACCTAATTTTCTTCAGGGATCCTTAACTTAACTTAACGTTTAACTAACACTGCTTTCATAACGTAACATAAGATAATGTTCGCTAAAGGTTAAGGGTACGGAATTTTGGAAGTACTTCCAAAAGTATCTCGACACAAATTCGAAACACAAAAAAATAACTTAACCTTTTTGAAAAGATGTCAGAAGTTAAGGGTTATAACTTAAACTCTTACGATAACGTTATGATGCCCTTATGAGGTAAGTTAAGGATCCCTGATTTTCTTAGATGTTTCCTACCCTTATTTTTCCAATGAGGGCGATGCTACTGGTATGCTGGCGTGTTTTTCTTTTCGTATCATCATTAATCAAAGGATAGCAGCACACAGCGCAACACTTCGTTCGCGGTTTAGCTCACGGTGGCGGGTTTTTGCCACAAATGCGTTCAAAACATTAAAAAACACACTTTTGGAGTTTCGGACATCGATGGGGCCCGATGGGGCGGAGTTATTGGTGCGAGGCGCTTCCCTTACATGTATATTAAGATGCCCCGATGATAACTTTTCCGCACTCGTCCGCAACACGAAACGCAGGGATCAACACTACAAAAACGTGCCAAATTGACTAGTTTTGGGGCTATTTGCTTCTGGTGTACACCATACAAAATGAAAAAAACATAAGTGGGATTGTTTTTCTTTTCAAATATTTTGTTTTTCTTTATATCAAAATGATTTAATGCGGCTCAGAAGTTAAAACTAAGTATTTTGAGCATTTTTTAGTTTTGCCTTTTTTGTCAATTCTGTCATTTTTCTTCTAATTTTGCTATTTTTCTCATTATTTCAGCATTATAAATCCAATTTTTATCGGACCGCCTTTTCCTTTGAACCAGTCTTTGCCTATTGCCTACCGATGATTCAGTTCAATTCTGGTAGCATTTGGTCGCACGGGACGCTTGCTAGGACTTATTCCCCCGAAAATCGCATTTTAAACCACTGTGCATCGCTGTGCTGTCACAATACTATGTAAGCTCTTTAATCGTAATTAAAAAATAAAAAGTGTACAACGTCTCGTGCAAAATTGTGATGCTAAACTTCAGTGTGCACGGGGAAACAGTTTTGATAAATAGAGGAGTAGCTCTTCCAATCTAAAAGGTGGTCCCAAGTTAAGAGTTGAACGTATTTCTATAAACTTTTCGGATTATTTTAAAGTGTCACTCAGGTCACTTCAAACTTTTTACCACGTACTGAGTTTTGATAAAATATACTTTCTGGTCCTGTGCAGCGAGTTAACGTTGAACAGAAATAGTTAAAAATTTCTTTGTCCTGAGCGTGCGTGCACCTTGCCAAGGTGCTAAAGGCCAACAAATTGAAAGAAAAAAGGTGGGGAATGCCGTGTTTCTACCTGCCGATTTGCCTCACCGCCATAGTTAACCAGTTTGGTCGCACTTCTCAACGAGTTGATGATCACCAATTTGAGTTGATACAGCTTGAATGTAGCTATTGCCATAACTTCATCATCGGGGCAAGAGTGAGTTTCAAAATAAGGAGTAAGTTCTTAAAAAGTTTAATTATTCAAGTAAGAATACAAATTGTATGATCAAACAAAACCGACGGCAAAAATTATGGCTAATTAAAATATAGGACAGAAATAAAAGATGTTCCACAAGAAAATATTAAGTCTAGTTAGTCTTCAGCACATCTTCAAGTTACAAATATAACCAGTTTCAAACACAATTTAACAAAAGAGCACCTGCTTAGAGTCACACCAGTATGCTAATTGCACACTGACAATGCATTTCTAGGATGGCAGGTAGATCTCTGACACGACACCAGGTCACTACGGCCACCTTCGGCAGCCAGTCGGGCAGCCCGCCATCCTGCGGTGAGCAGCCATCGCAAGATGTTGCAGATCGTCCAGTTTCCGCAGCTCCTCATGGCAACCGAGGCCGCACCACTCACAACGACACTCTGCCTGATTTCTGATGAGCACGCGAAGGTGGAGGCGCGGGTTCCTTTCCAGGAGTTCCTGAACCGCAGGGGAGTGCAGCCAGCCATGGGCGCACTCTCCAAGGGGTGGATTCATCGAGAGCGAGGTGAGGCTCGGCGCAGACGTGGGGGTCACTGCCTGCAGAAAACCGTCAAGATCATCTCCATGCAGCCAGCACTCCAAGGACAGGGACTGCAGGGAAGGGAAAAGGGGCACGATGTTTGCTGCCAACTCCACACCGATCGCGTCCAAATCCCAGCCAACGCAGCTCAAAGTGAGAGATTCGACAAAGCGGGCAGAGGGCGAGCTCGCCAGAGCCTGCAGCGGGGCCGCGTGGTTTTTCCGAGGTACAGGAAACGACACCGATCTGAGGTGAGGCGCCTGGCTGAGAAAGTCCAGAGCACTGGAAGGAAAGTCAGGTGGTAGATCTTCATTGATGAACTTGAGAGTGTTGAGGTTGGACAGAGCCGCAGAATAAGACAAAGCATCGGCCTTGCACTCAAGCGAGCGAAGCCGTGGCATCATCCGCAAGAAGTTCATTGGGAGGTGATCTGTGCCCAGGCACACACTCACATCCTCCAGCGTTGACGCATGGGTTGTAAGCAATTGTACGAGTACATAGTTCAATTTACCAACGTACTGCAGCTTGGTCAAGGAGGGTCGTTTCAACGTTAAGGACCATAGGGCCGGATGTGACGGAATTCTGCTACATAGACCGATCCCTAATTCGCGGAGACCGCTAACACCGAGAGCCGCCTTTAGAAGGAGAGCAAGAGAGTGCGAATCCATAAGGCTGAAAAAAGAAAGTCGAAGCGCTCGCAAGCCGCCAAGAGCTGAGAATTTCTTAACCATGGCCGTAGCCAAGGGCACCTCAGGACCAGCAAAATAAACATCCGCACGCACTTCAAGTTCAGCGACGACGCACTCGGTGCTGGCCAACAACGACGGCATTTTCTTCATTTGAGCCAACGTCACCATTTGTTCCGGGTTCACGAAAGAGAGTTTCCGGAGGCAGGGGACGACACGCAGCGCCGGGAGCAGCTCACAGCCTATGGCGGCGGACTTCCACAAGTGGCGGTGAAGGCAGAGGTCGCGCAGGCGGCGACACACCACCCGGCAGCCCAGCAGCTCCGCCGGTGGCAGGTAGGCCAGCACGGCCAGCAGCGCGTCGTCCGGGAGGTCCAGCAGCTGCGGCACAAGCAGGGACAGTCAGAGCGCTGGCTACACTGGCAATTCGGTAGAGTCGGGTGATGAAGCTTCCTCGCTCAAATTGGGGTGATGTAAGTTTTCTCACCCTAACCGGTGCTAGCTAAGAAGTTGCCGCCCAACACACTAAATTGTTATGCTGCTTTTAACGCAAAAGCTTTGCACAGAATTGTGCATGCGTCTTAAAATGCACCATAAGTTGTGCGCAACAAAGAAGGAAAGGGTGCGTTGTTGCGCACGAACTCGTGCGTTCCACGCGGTTTGGTGCAAAAGCTATGCACCAAAAAACTACATAGAATCAAGGGTGAGATTTCAAGTTATGAAACAGTCATCGCCCAGATTCGGGTGAAAAATGAAATCCTCACGAAAATTTGAGTAATTTAGCACACACTAATTGACTGTGTAGTTTTTTTGTGCATAAGCTTTGCACAAAATTGTGCGTGCACTGCAAAAAAAGCCACAACGAAAGTACACAAATTACTGGCAAATTTTTAATCAGGAGTTTATTGTACTTTCAAAGGACAACAATTGTTGTACAAAGTGCAATGAAACCGGCAGTACGAGTGCTGGGCAGTCCGGCCTCGTTGTGGTTTGTACAATTCTCGTTGTACTTTATACAATCCGTGTTGTACTTTTATTGTACAGTTTTGGTTGTACTTTTGTTGTACTATTCACACTTTTTCTTGCAGTGTGCTTTTCACGCGCATGCTCGAATTCTGAGCATAAAGCTCATGCAAAAAAAAACCTTCAGGGTAATTCAGACTCTTAAAACCTTACGAAGTATTTTGAGCATACGTATAACAAACTAAAATACTTTGTTATACGAAGAAATAGTTTGTAAATTACGAAGTATTTCCTTTGTAAGCTAATGTATGCTCAAAATTCTTTGTTATACAAACTACTTTTCTTTGTAAGGCCCAAAATAGTTTGTAACGTTTTCTCACTGCAATGAGGCTGAAACGCGTGCACTAAATGTTTGCGTACTTTTACTTTCTGTCCATAACAACGAGATAAGGGGCAATGGACTCGCACCGGAGTTGATCAAAGTCGATGTTTGGCTACTTAGTAGATGATAAAGAAGCTCACATGAACGGGACACCTTATAATCGAGCTTGATATTATTTAATAAACTTTAGCTTGAGAAACTTGGAGGAAGTTTTCCAGCCGAGACATGCTCGCGTCGCCAACTGAGTACTTCGTGGAACACCTGGTATCAATATCAAGACGCGTAACTCAAAGACCAGATGGTGGATTGGCAGAGTTGAGCCCGCTGGACCGAATAATTCAGTTACAATTTACATTCATCAAATTTTGAATCCTAAAATTCAAGCGTGAAGTACTCCGACCAATCAGGGAGCGGCGTAACACATGGTTTGTCACGAAGCCGGCGGTCTATGCCTTCAGCAAGAATACAACCTTGTGTGAAAGCTAGTTACTGATCGTGAAAGGAAAGTTAACTCACCGATAGGTCCACTGTTTCCATTGCAGCGACGGGTTCACACAGTCTTGCACGGTCCCAGCAGTGGCGTAGACAGACGGATCAACCTGCAACGTAGACGAACATCATTAACCACTGAACATAGTCCACGGACTTCCACCCGCTTGAGACCATCATGGATGCGGGAAAATAACGAGAAACCTTTAATAAGATGGCACGGTTGACGCATAATACTAAGCACCAAGGAAAGATTCACAAATAGGCTACAAAGAACTGGACTGAAAGTTTAGAAGATCTCTGAAAACCTAACAAACTATTTTAGGCCTTACATAAGAGAAGCAGCTTGATACAACACAGTATTTAAAGCATACATAAGCGTACAAAAAAAATATTTCGTAATTTCCCAACTATTTCTTCGTGTAACAAAGTTCGTCTGACCTATGTTCTCACTTCTGGACTATTTCAGCAGACCCGAAAAGGAGAATAGGCGAGCGGGTCGCTTCCGTTTGGATCACAACGGACGACGGAGGATTCAAATATCACCGGAAATCTCTTTTAAGAAGTTGTACGTCAGTTCTCAAGTGAAACATAATATTTAAGACTCATTCGAGTGCAAATATCATGAAATTTGGCCCCTCGGTTAATGGAAAACTAACGCGTAGTCGTCGTCTGTTTGTTGAGACCCAACCGGAAGTGGCCCGCTCACTTGTTGTTATACTCGGTTCCGCTGAGGAAATCTGTGACGCATACTTTAACCGGGATTTCTTTTCAACCTCCGTTCAGCTCTTCTCCGAAGTAATCTGTAGCAGTATCCGTACACCCACCTTGCAGTAATCGGCTGAGTAGGATTTAAATCGACTGGGAGCGGTGGAGACGGAAGTCGACTTGTCCTATGATAAAGTTCAAACTAGAAGACTAAACACAGTATGATACTCTAACGCAGCTGCAAACCAGAGGTGCTGAGATCAAAACCGGAAGCTCCTACCCAGTCCCTCCAATTGTTCATTCGAGGGAAGTATAGAACGAATCCAATTGACAGTTCCATCAGAGCGAAGAAGAAACACAGAAACCGGAGACTCCCCAGAAGTAGCTACCCTGAATACAATACGTGGTATATTGGCTGCGGACAGTTGCCTCTGAATAGTTCCAGAAAACCTTTCAGAAAACTCCAGTGAAGCGGGCGTTACGCAGGCAGGGACCCCCAGCCCGCTGCCACGGCGTAGCGCAACGGAGAATTTCGCGATACCACCACGGAAGTTCTTTCAGCGAATAAGGGGGAACCTTATTCACTGAAAGAACTTCCGACCTATTCTCTCACACCTGAGATGTTCAACGTACCGTTACGCTGGCTCGGATCCCCCGACCTATGAGGTACGGTACTCCAATTAATCTTGAAACGGAAGAACAGCGACAAAAGTGAGCCCTAACAGCTCCTGCGCACGCTCAGGCGTTTCCCCACCACCCGGTGCGCATGTGCCGAAGCAGGTTTTTCAGACTAACTTTTGTACTTCTTCCGTTTCACGATTCATTGGAGTACCCTTTACCGCAGCTTTGCGCAGCTCGACCCCCGAAATAAGAAACACAACACGAACGTCCTCATACCTTGCTTGTGACCTCGAAATAACACTCAGCACACTTTGTGAACTAGCAGACGAGCATGTCACATTTACAACAACTTCCTAAGGTGAATGGTGACTTATTGGACTACCGTCTTGATTGCAGCTCACGTTATGGTCTGCTTTCACCAAACTGACGGCAGACACTGTTAGATAAAAATGTCCTGTCAATGCCGTTAATTTATTACCAGTTTTCACTGTAGGTCAATTCACAGCGTTTACTGTGATCTACTCACGCGATTCACTGTGATCTTGTTCGCTGTGATCTGGTCCACAGTATACACTGAGTCTGACGCCGCCGAGCATCGAAGTAGTGCAAATCAGGCTCCAATTCACGGCGTTTACTGTGGCCAGATCACAGTGAACACTGTCGTGACCGAGATCACAGTGAACGCCGTGAACTAGTTCACAGCAAACGCCGTGAATTGCATAATAGCAAACATTGGTAATAAATTAACGGCATTGACAGGACATTTTTTGCTCAGTGGATGACTTCTGGTCAACACAGGAACGTGATTCCATGGTAAATCAAAGGTGACAAAATGTCTCGTTCTTTTGAGCACTGTATCACATTCGTGAATGGGAATAAGGCAACCAATGGCTGGTTCACACCCGAACGAATGTGACACAATGCTGAAAGGATTGTGACATTTTGACATATACGATTCAACGTGATGTCTCGTACTTGAAATGAGCGATTGTGCTTAACTATCTGCCTCATGCAGTCCTAGAGTCTTGGAACTATGCAGCTGAACGCTGGTCCTGGAGCAGCTGAGCGGCAAGGAGGGCCTCACCTCGGCGGACATCAACAATTCACCCTGAGGTTGGATTTGCACCGTGAAACATTTTGTCGGGGCCGAGGGGTGAATCACTAGTGTACTCATGTGTACAAATAAGCCCGTACTCAGGTACTCACAAATTTTGAAAGAGCAAAAATAGCCAAATTTATACAGGATTCGGTGTGGATTTACGTTTAAAACGCTAAAAAGGCGTAAAAACGTCGACAAAAAGCCCAATTTATGAGTATTTTCAGGTGTACTCATCTGTACTCATGTACTCATGTGTACACAAAGACACGGAGTGATTCACCCCTCGGTCGGGGCCATCATGCGACCTACACTCCAAATTCGGTATTCCCTGGAACTGGGCGCCGTTACCGCCTGCTCCACTTCTAGAGGCGGCAAATGTCGCCCACATTTTGGGCACCTTCGTTGCCTTGTCTCGGGGTCCTCAAATCATACCCCGGCCCCCTCCCATGGTAGAGCATACACAGGTGCCCACTTTCTAGGCAGGCACCTTTTGCGCTGCCGAGCTACGGCGGCCCACAGTTAGAGACAAGCTGCTTAATGATTTGTGATCCTTGAGACATGGCGACATTCGGCGCCCTGAAGTGTAAAGCAGGCGACAAGAGCGCCATTGTCAGGGCACGCCAAATTTTGGGTGTAGGAAACAAATTATAAATTTTTGGAATCGAAGCTAGTTTGGCCCCGGACTAAGGTTCAAATTCCCCAATGGCAGATGTCACCACTGTTGCCTATTAAAAGAGGCCTATGGTGCCTATGCCGTTAGAAGTCCTGAGGATCCCAAATCTCATTTCGGATGTCTGATACGACATCCGTTCGCCCACATTAGTTAAGGGGTGGCGAAAGTACTCTTTTGTGGAAATCTCAAAAGTTAGACTTTCCTGCTGATTCCGAACATGTACTTGGTCTTGCAAAAATGAGTAAAACGGAGGGCGCAACCGGCCTTCAAAGTAAAGAAAAAAAAAATCGAATTTTCAAGGCTAGTAGCGCCCTCAATATTTAATTTTTTTTCAAAGCACAGTGCATGCACTTCGGACCGAATCGGCAGAAAAAATGGCCCCTTTGCGATTTTGAAAAAAAATGTGTGTTCATGACCATTCTTAGGGAGCGTGGGGCACAATGGGACAGCGGGTACCATGGGCAACTGTCAAGTACGGGTGGTAAAAACACTTGTGTTGTAACCTTTTTTTTTCTTTTCTATATCTCAAAAGTTATAGATGCCGCATTTTGTAGCATTTTTTCTGCCGATTCCAATTATGAACTGCGATTTGAAAAAGCAGAAAAATTGAGGGCGCTTTAAGGCTTTGAACGGCTTAAGCGGCGCCCTCTCTTGCAGGCACCGAGCGGGTGATCAGGGAGACGATGCGCCTGTCAGCATCGGTCTTGCAGCCAGGTCTGCAGGCAGCATTGCGCGCCAATGCACGAAATTAAACATGCAATTCGTAACGTACTAATTTCTGCGTGACAATGTACGCTTTGCTGCATACTTGCGCTCGAAATCGTGAATTGCCGCGCACAAATTTGTGCGTTACGAAATGCATGTTTAATTTCGTGCATTGGCGCGCAGAAAAACCTACTTAGTGATTTAGTGTGTGTGTGTTGATGATGCGCGCACTCCGCGCAGGGCAGGCAGGCGTGCTCGTGAAAGTGGTGATTTTCGCCCCTCTTGTCCAGAATACGCTTCGCAATGGTGCGCACCAGCTGTCACGTCTGGTGACATAAGAAAGAGGTGATAAAGTTACGAGTGATTTCTGAAAGGGCAATAGCATGTTTCCAGTCGCTTCGCTGTGAATGCTTGAAGCTCCCATTAATAGGCGGGCCTCGCTCCACAGCCCACTATTTACTTTTGACAAGTCCTTCGATGGAACGGCGCCCTTCGAATGGTGCGGCAAGACTACGCTTGCCATCACACGAAAAGTTCAGGTCACTTTTGCTGTGGCGCAGTTCAGTCAGGATGGCCAGTCCGAGTGGAACGATGTGTGCTGCAGTGCTCGCCGTGGTCCTCTTGGTACCCGCCAAGGCACTTTCTGCGAGCTGGACCTCCCTGCTGCCAAGTAACGATACAGGCTTGGACGACACTCTGAGAAAAAATGACGGTAAATCCTGGATAATTTTTTTGCCAAACTTTACCGTACTTGTAAAACTAGTATGTACCAGAGTGTCCAATCGGGCGGTTGGCCCAACCTTGGGGTCGCGGTAGCCGACGCCCGCGGTCGCCTACGGTCGCGGTGGCGGGAACAACTCGGAACGCTCTCAAACTTACCCTGCAACCAAGTGTAGGACGTCGACATTTACAGCGGGACGGACCACGCTTGAGTGTCGCACCAGTATAGGTCCGCGCTTGAATGTCGGCCCACGCTGTCCGAACCTTCATTCGCCACAGAATGTCCGACGGCTGAGTGTGGGGTCACAATTGGAACTCAGTGTATTTGCCGTAGGACAACAGTGGTCCTACACATGTAGGCGTCCGAACGGGTGGTCGCACTTCGAGGTCGACACACTGGGGTCGACGTGCAAGCGTGGACAAACTGGTCTACGCTTAAGTGCGACCTGCTCTACACTGATTTGCTAAGGCAGATAATCACACTCCGTAACAAAGGCATGCTGAAGGAAGGTCCAAAGACCAATTGCCCGTCGTGGGAGGACGAAATACCGCCTTGGATCAGACGCGGTGGCTGCTTAAATGCCGCAAAGTTGATCAAAACGGTCACAAATGTCTTTGAAAAATCGTGTTTTGAGTCGACTTTAAGCATCCACTGCGTCTGATCCGAAGCGGTATTTCGTCCTCCCCCAACGGGCAATTGGTCTTAGGACCTTCCTTTAGCATTCCTTTGTTACGGAGTGCGATTATCTGCCTTAGTTTGGGAGCAGTATTGCCGCAAAGTTGATCAACCCACGTGTTTTCAGACATTTGTGACCGTTCTGATCAACTTTGCGGCAGTACTGCTTCCAAACTAAGGCAGATAATCGCGTCACGTTTTAAAGGCATGCAAAAGAAAGGTCCAAAGACCAATTGCCCGTTGAGGAAGGACGAAATACCGCCTCGGATCAGACACAATGGGTGCCTAAAGTCGGCCCAAAACACGATTTTTCAAAGACATTTGTGACCGTTTTGATCAACTTTGAGACTATACTGCTCCCGAACTAAGGCAGATTATCGCACTTTGTATCAAAGGCATGCTAAAGGAGGGGTCGCGTGGGGTCGCGAAATTTCTCCTGGGGGTCGCGGAAATTTTTGGCTACAAATTTGGGGTCGCGAACCGAAAAAGGTTGGGAACCGCTGGCCTATAGGATTTACCGTACTTGTTTTACAAAATATTCCGTAGTCTTTTAACAGTAGTTCCCGTTCTTTAGTACAGTCCCTGCCGTATTGACCCGCCTTTCTATTCAAAAAAATAGAGGAAGGCCCCGATCTGGTCCCGACGAAGGCCGCTTCCGAGAATTGTCCACGTCAGGATCTTGAGAAAAGGGTCGATCGACTGAAATATTGCGGCTTTCAATAGATCTCTTCAAGACCTTTTCAATTAGGGGTCCGAAAAGGGTGGGGGGATGTACAGGAGTCCCGACTTCAGCAGGTGCGTACATCAGAATCTTGGGAAGAGGGGGTCGACCGACTGAAAAATTTTATTGCACCTTTCGATAGGTCTTGGCAAGACCTTTTTACGCAAGGGCCGGAAGGGGGGTCCAGGAGCCCGACTTCGGCAGTTGGCTACATCAGGATCTTGGAAAACGAGGGTCAACAGACTGGAAAAAATTATTGTAGTTTTTGATAGGTATTAAAGTACGGTATTGCCTGCAAAAAAGTACGGCATTGCCTGCAAAAAAGTGCGGCATGATCTGTCGAAAAGCACAGTATCTAGTGTTGAAAAGACTACGGTATGGTTTGTAAAACGAGTACGGCAATCACTGTAACATGTACGGCAGATGCTGGCTTTGAAAGAACGGTGTTCTGGAGTACTCAGTACAGGCTTTACCGTGATCTTTTCTCGCAGTGGAGGCGCGGTTCATCCTCAGCCTGCTGGAGCCCGCCCTGCTGCGCACCGGACCCCATCCTCCTCAGCTGGTTGTCGCGGGAAGGCCGCAGTGGATGGACGCCTTTCTGAGACTGCACGGAACAGCGTCTGTGGTCCTGGTGCCCAGCCCGGGACGGCCATGGCCGACCCCAGCGGATCGTTATACTCTGTCTCTGCCGAGTGCAGTCCTTCTGGTCGCCGAAGAAAGAGCATCAGACTTGATCGCCGTTCTCGCGGCCATAGAAAAGCCCCTTGAGTGCCGAACGCTGCTATGGACAGAATACAAGTCTGGCTGGACAGAGAAAGATCTGAACAAAATCGCAGAATCTTGGAGAATTTTTTCCATGACACCAATAATGCTCGTGGTTCGACTGGCTGGGGTTGTGGGTTCAAGCTCGGCTGTGTACCTGGGGACCTTTAAACCTCAACTAGGGTCCGCCGCCAGCAAGGGTTTGGCTTCCAGGATCTGTGATGTTCTTCCCACCATGCTACTTTCGAGGAGACGCGACACGTAGCACCGGAATGTACTTCAACGCTGGTGACGCAAATGTGTACCAAACTATGTTGGAACAGTACGCAAAAACAGTTGTCAACAAATACGGGAACTTAAGCTTCGTCCGAATGAACAAACCGAGACGATGGGAAACTTCCTAGTACTCTGCCGCTACAACTTGTTCATCTTAGAATACCCGTTACATGTGCATACTTATAGCAAATTCGATGCTTTCCCCTGGGCAATGGACAGCGTGGTGGTTCTGGTGCCGGCCGGGATGGGGGAAGGCAACTGTCTCGTCGACAGCATCACTGGACAGTTTTCAACGGCCCTCTGGATTGCCACGGCGTTGTCCTTGCTGGGGGTCGCCACCTTACTGCATGCACTCAACGGGCGCTCCAGGGCCTTCCTCGACGCGCTGGCCCCTCTGGTCGGCCAGTCCGGCTCGCCGGTCGGCAGGGATGCGCGGCGTCCGCTGCTGGGCGGATGGCTGCTCGTCTGCGTCGTCCTCTCCTCGGCCTACAGCGGGAAACTTCTGGCTGGTCTTCTCGGCAAATGCGCCGCTGGAGAAATACAAACTTTGGAAGAACTGGCGCGAACCAAACTTAATGTTCTCATCCAACCTGGGATCGACGTGGAAGACCATTATGTATCGCACGCACTGAGCGTCAGAGCCGCTGTCTTTACCGGCTCAGCCCGTGAGGCCTTGGCTGCCGTTGCAAACCGAAGCGCCGCATTTCTGCTGACGAAGACGAGTCTTTCACACATCGCACCGGAAGTGGGGTCAATGGACAGTGTGCACAAATTCACGCTGCCCAGACAATCCGTTGTTACTTTATTCATGGCAAAGAAAGGCTTGCCTCAAGCGAAAAGCTTTGGGGTGACTATTAACCGATTTAGGGCGGTTGGCTTACACCCCGAGGTGGTGCACCGGTTTCAAAACGTCAAGGACACGCGCCTGTACGCTTCCCAGAGAACCAGGGCGGAGCGTGCAAACCCTCGGGTCGTTGCGCTGGACATCGCCAAGGTGTGGGTGTGCTTCGAGGTCTGGATAGCCGGCAGCCTCGTGGCGACTGCAGCCTTTGTGGGCGAGATCGTGGTCTCGCGATTGTCCAGTAGGCAGTCTACCCATGAGCTGTGACTTCACTGAGAGTTGTGTCACGTTGCAGCGCACGGTTCAAAATATATGGATATGCGATGCGCACACTGTTTTAAATGTTGGCACACCTTTCTCTGGTGGCCCCGTGACGTCACGTTTGTTTGGACGTCGAAACTCCGATGGCAGTCGTCGCGCGATGCGAGACAAAGCGCCGTGAAGGTAGGCATACCATCCACCGAATTCGGATGTCTCCCCTGACGGGTGGTCAGTCGCCGGTCGCTGCGTGCGAGACGGCACGGTGGCGCTGCCTGCCGATGGGTGTGCGAGAGAGAGAGAACGTGCCCGGCTACACTGTCAGAAAATTCCGAAAAAAATGGAAAAATCATGGAGTTTTTCCGAAACTTCTGCATGGAGCTCTCCAGTAATGCAAATTCTGGGCTTTCTCCGAAAAAATTCGGAACTTTGAACAAAAATGCACGCTTCACTATCACAAAAACACGAAGAAAAGGTTTGCAACCAGTTAAAATTCCCCTACTTCTTGAGCTCAGTTTTCATAATATTAAGGGAAAGCTACAGGATATAAGTGAAATGAGCTCGAATGAGATTGTCCCTTCTTTGACCATTTCAGACCAAAAAATGCTTCAGCGAAGTCCTCTTTAAAAGACTTGCATTTTACCTCCTATCTGGACCCAAGGAATGCTCCGTAGAACATCTGTATAAGCCCTGCGAAAATCTCTCCGAAAAAAAAATGGAAAATGAATGGAGTCTCCATGAACGTGATTATAGGGTTTTTCTCCATAAAATTTCGGAGCTAATTTCTAACAGTGTAGTCAGTCAGTCTACAGTCAGCCGACGGAGCGTCAAGACGAGACGCTGCCGCTCAGTGCACGTGTTTGGTGTTCCGCGAAGTTTCTGCCATCAATCCGTTGCAATCCGACGTTTATCCGTGGATTTTCCATCATGACTACACCCGCCGATTCATCGCCCGCAAGGGCGTCAAGTTCCGGGCTTAGTCCACACACTATGATGGGCTAAACATCCGCCGAAGCCGTGCCTCTGCCTCGTGCCTCGTGTGAGAGGCCGTCTTGCTGCTGCCATGTTTCGCCTCGCCACCCAACACCGTCACTGAAAACGTAATGGTCGGACACATGGCCATAGAATAGCGTGACCAAAAAGTCACGCCAAAAATTGGCGTGACACGCAATTCACGCCGATAAACGGCGTGACCTGTGGGTCACCCCTCGTTTGGCGTGACTGACACGGTTTATTAGAAAAGTCATGCCAAAAAGTGGCATGACAAGAAATTCACACCAAAAATTGGCGTGAATTTTTGAGTCTTGCCGATTTGGGGCGTGACTCTTCTGTCATGCCGTTTGTTGGCGTGACACTTAATTTCCGCCCATGCAGCGGCACGAAGTCACGCCGATAGATTTTCAGTGGTCTCTGTCTCCGTCCGGAGCGGGCCTGTCCACGCCGTCCCACCTCCGCTTTGCCGTCGCCGACGTGACGTCACGGCTCTCGAGGCAACTCGGCGCCCGCCGTGACGTAGTGAATGTGCTAGTGCCATGTTGTGCCGCGGTGCGCCGCTCTGAGATATGTAGTGAAACAACGTGAAATCGAAATCTCTTTCTGCCTTGGACGTAGTTTACGCCTGTTTAGTAAATAAATGAAGTGACGCTAGGTGTGAAGTGTGTGTGTTGGGGAGGCGCCCCCAATGCACAATCTGTCCTCCATCCTGTTCTACAATGTATATTGCCTTGACCCTGTAGGCAATGGTTGGTGAGTGTGCACACTTCTCTATCTTATTCATCTGGGCCCAGGTGATGGTTCTGTCTGTAGCTGTTGTTTATGGGATGTTATTGCTATTGTTGCTCTTGATTTTGTGTCAGTGTTAGATACCACCACAATTTAATTTTTAGTTTCAGTTGCACAGACATAGTTAAAAATTACTTTGTCCCGAGAGTGTACATTGCCAAGTGCTAAAGCCACCGATTAATGGCAAGGGCGTCAAGTTCCGGGCTTAGTCCACACACTATGATGGGCTAAACATCCGCCGAAGCCGTGCCTCTGCCTCGTGCCTCGTGTGAGAGGCCGTCTTGCTGCTGCCATGTTTCGCCTCGCCACCCAACACCGTCACTGAAAACGTAATGGTCGGACACATGGCCATAGAATAGCGTGACCAAAAAGTCACGCCAAAAATTGGCGTGACACGCAATTCACGCCGATAAACGGCGTGACCTGTGGGTCACGCCCTCGTTTGGCGTGACTGACAACGCGTTTTATTAGAAAAGTCATGCCAAAAAGTGGCATGACAAGAAATTCACACCAAAAATTGGCGTGAATTTTTGAGTCTTGCCGATTTGGGGCGTGACTCTTCTGTCATGCCGTTTGTTGGCGTGACACTTAATTTCCGCCCATGCAGCGGCACGAAGTCACGCCGATAGATTTTCAGTGGTCTCTGTCTCCGTCCGGAGCGGGCCTGTCCACGCCGTCCCACCTCCGCTTTGCCGTCGCCGACGTGACGTCACGGCTCTCGAGGCAACTCGGGCGCCCGCCGTGACGTAGTGAAGTGCTAGTGCCAGTGTTGTGCCGCGGTGCGCCGCTCTGAGATATGTAGTGAAACAACGTGAAATCGAAATCTCTTTCTGCCTTGGACGTGTTTACGCCTTGTTTAGTAAATAAATGAAGTGAAGCTAGGTGTGAATGTGTGTGTGTTGGGGAGGCGCCCCTCAATGCACAATCTTCCTCCATCCTGTTCTACAATGTATATTGCCTTGACCCTGTAGGGCAATGGTTGGTGAGTGTGCACACTTTCTCTATCTTATTCACTCTGGGCCCAGGTGATGGTTCTGTTCTGTAGCTGTTGTTTTATTGGGATGTTTATTGCTATTGTTGCTCTTGATTTTGTGTCAGTGTTAGATACCAACCACAATTTAATTTTTAGTTTCAGTTGCACAGACATAGTTAAAAATTACTTTGTCCCGAGAGTGTACATTGCCAAGGTGCTAAAGGCCAACCAATTGGAAAAGGTGGCAAACGCCATGTGTCTACCTGCCGATTTGACACCTTTGTGGTCATCAAAGCGTTGTTTGCTTTGCACCGATCGAGTCCAAATTGTCCTCACCGCCTTCACCTGTTTGGTCGCACTTCTAAACGAGTTGATAATGACCAATTTGAGTTGATACAGCTTTAATTGGTCATCATTGTCGCCATTGCATTGCCATTACTTTATCGGTCCCGGTGAACACTTCCACAAGACTGAGGTTACCAAAATTAGGAGTAAGTGCAAATAGTTTAATTATTCAAGTAATTATACATAGTATATAATCAAACAAAACCGATAATATTGCTAATAAAGATATCAGACGGAAATACATAAGAGCTGTTTCACAACACAATAAAGAAAACAGTTTGTCTTCAGCAAGTTGCAAATAGAACCAGTTCCAAACACAATAAAAAACACCTGCTTAAAGTCACACCAGTATGCTAATTGCAGACTGACAATGCACTTTCAGGATTTCTGTCACGACACCAGATCACAACGGCCACCTACGGCAGCCACTCGGGCAGCCCGCCATCCTGCGGTGAGCAGCCAACACAAAATCTTGCAGATTGACCAGTTTCCGCAGCTCCTCATGGCAACCGAGGCGGCACCACTCACAACGACACTCTGCCCGATTTCCTCCGAGCACGTGAAGGTGGAGGCGCGGGTTCCTTTCCAGGAGTTCCTGAACCGCAGGGAAGTGCAGCCAGCCATGGCGGCACGAATGAAAAGGTTGCTTCATCGTGAGCGAGGTGAGGCTAGGCGCAGACGTGGGGGTCACTGCCTGCAGAAAACCGTCCACAGCATCTCCATGTAGCCAGCACTCCAAGGACAGGGACTGCAGGGAAGGGAAGTCGGGCAGGATGTTCGCTGCCAACTCCACACCGATCGCGTCCAGGTTCCTGCTTTTCCAGCGCACAGTGAGGGATTCGACGAGGCGGGCAGAGGGCGAGCTCGCCAGAGCCTGCAGCGGGGCCGTGTGGTTTTCCCGAGGTAAAGGAAACGACACCGATCTGAGGTGGGGCGCCTGGCGGAGAAAGTCTAGGGCACTGGGAGAAAAGTGTAGTGGAGCATCGAAGAACTTGAGAGTGTTTAGGTTCGACAGAGCCGCTGTATCAAGCAAGGCACTGGCCTTGCAAGCAAACGAGCGAAGGCATGGCATCATTGGAAGGTGATCTGTTTTACTTAGGCTCAAACTTACATCTTCCAGGGTTGGCGCGTGGGTTGTGAGCAACGATTCGAGTAAGGGGTCCAAATTACCAAAGTACTCCAGCTTGGTCAAGGAGGGTCGTTTCTCCGAAAAGGACCATGGAGCCGCATTTGGCGGAATCGTCTGTCCTAGATCGATCCGCAATTCGCGGAGTCCGCCAACACTGAAAGCCGCCTTCAGAAGGGGAGCAAGAGAACTCGGATCCTCAAGGTTAGCAAACTGCAGTCCAAGCGCTCGCAAGCCACCAAGAGCTAAGAATTTTTTAAAACCCAAATGGCCGTAGCCAAGCGCACCACTTCATCGTCGTAATCAGAACCCGCACGCACTTCAAGATCAGCGACGACGCACTCGGTGCTGGCCACCAACGACAGCACCTTCTTTCTTAGCGCCACCGTCAGCCACCGTTCCGGGTTCACGAAAGAGAGTTTCCGGAGGCAGGGGAGGACACGGAGCGCCCGGGAGCCGCTTCACGGTGTCTATGGCGGCGGACTTCCACAAGTGGCGGTGAAGGCAGAGGTCGCGCAGGCGGCGACACACCACCCGGCAGCCCAGCAGCTCCGCCCGGGACAGGTAGGCCAGCACGGCCAGCAGCGCGTCGTCCGGGAGGTCCAGCAGCTGCGGCACAAGCAGGGACAGTCAGAGCGCTGGCTACACTGGCAATTCGGAAAATACGTGTGATGAAGTTTCCTCGCTCAAATTGAGGTGATAAAGGTTTTCTCACCCTAACCAGTGCTAGCTAAGAAGTTGCCGCACAAAGCACTAAATTATTATGTGGTTTGTAACGCAAAAGTTTTGCACAAAACTAAGCATGCGTTTAAAAATGCACCACTTTCTTCGCAACAATGCAAGAAAGTGTGCGTTTTGGCGCACTTACTAGTGGTTTGGTGCAAAAGCTATGCACAAAAACTACGTAGAATTAAGGGTGAGAGTTCAAGTTATGAAACATTCATCGCCCACATCCTCACGAAAATATGAGTAATCTAGAACACAATCAATTACTGCGTAGTTTTCTTGTGCAGAAGCTTTGCACAAAATTGTGCATGCGTTTCACGGGCTTGCTCAAATTCTGTTCAAAAGCTTATGCACAGATAAATCAACCACGATGTAATTCAGTGTGCACGTGGCGTGGCTAAAACGTGCGCATCACACTAAATAATTGCATACTTTTACTGTCCATAACAATGAGACAAGGGGCGATGGACTCGTACCGAAGCTGACCAGAATCTCTGCCAGGACACAGCGTTCGTAATTTCGCAGCCGAAGCAGCTTGGTGCGGTCGACGCCAGTGGAGCGATTTTATGCACATTAAGGTCAGTTGGGGTAATAATGGGACAATTTCTGAAATAAGGGTTCCACAAGTCAGCAGTGACGCCTCTAAGTGTTAACAATGTTTCTCAGTGATAAGTATCTTTTCCCTACAGTTTGGTGTTGAAATAACATCAAAAACTTATTTAGATTGGAAGTTAAGTTGAAATAGTTGTGTCAATTCGGAAATATCACTTTGGGGTAAAAATGGGACATCCTGGGGAAATAATGGGACAGGCGGCTCGGTATCGAAGGAAAGAAAATGTTAGGTGTTTCATTGACAGAAATGGTTTCGTCTTGAAAGACCAAACAATAAATGTCAGCACATGCCATAAGTTACGATGAAAAATGAAGAAGTTATGAAGCTTCAATGAAGCTAAAGTAACAAAACGACGTGGAACACATCAGATTTCTTTAAAGCCCTCCATCATTTTCATTTTCCATGCAAACCCATTGCTCATGTTGACATTAGTGTTTGTCTTGTCGAGACGAGACCAATCCATTTCCGTCCGGTCAGTTATATCAATTTAGACAGTCATGAAAATTTATTTTCCAAATCCCCATGTTGATAATAGTCCAATTATCACCCCAAGTCGTGTCCCATTATTGGCCCAAACAAAAATTTTACTTTAAGAAGTAAATGAATGTATTTATGTGAAACCGAGTTATTTGAGCGTAATCCCCGTTCTTTTAACTTTCTATCGCGCTATAACACTTAACTCTTCTTTTGCTAAACGTTTTGCAGTGATCAAAATTCTGGACCTCGGCAGCAAAATTTTCGGACCTCCTTAAGTCCGTTGGTACAGTGTTAGAAAGTTTCCGTTAGAATGATGCAATTTTAAGCACATCCGGTGGTGATGCAATTTTGTGTCCGCCAGGCGGGACAAATTGTCTAGTGAAAGTACAATTTGCAGCAGGCGTCGGACAAAATGTGTCTCCAGACGGCAACAAAATTGTATTACCGTCGGATGTGCTTAAAATTGAATAAATCGTGGGACAAAAAAAAAGTCCCAAGACATTTAGTGTGTATAAAATCTTATTTCTGAGAGCAGATGAAGTCGTGCCGTATGAAAAATGGGATACTACACAGGCAGACGGACGTTTCGAGCCTAAATACACTGTGGCAAAAAGCTACGGAAAATTCTGTAAACAGCTTGTGGTAATTCTCCGTAGCCCCCTTATCAATATTCTCCGTAGGCTCTTACAGTATTTTCCGTAGGACAGCACAGTATTCTCCGTAGGACCTTACAGTGATCTCCGTAGGACTATACAGTCTTCCAGATCCTACGGGGAAGACTGTGCGGACTTACAGAGAATACTGTACGGCCCTACGGAGAATACTGTAAGAGCCTACGGAGAATATTGATAAGAGGGCTACGGAGAATCCTGGCAAAAAATTAACAGAATTTTCCGTACCTTTTTGCCACAGTGTATGTTATGGATGTTAAATCTTGTCCACAATGAAAGGTGTCCCATTTTTACCCAATTCATCCGTATTACCCCAACTGACCCTAAGTCGATATTTGGCTACTTTCAGTACATAAGAGAGGCCTTTATAAACGGGAAGCCTCATGATTGAGCTTGATTTATGATATAAGCTTCTGAGACTTGGAGAAAGTTTTCCAGCCGAGACATGCTCGCGTCGTCAACTGAGGACCTTAGGCAGCACGTGGTATCAACACCAAGACGCGTAACTCACCAGACGGTGGATGGAAAGATTTGAGCCGGTTGGACCGAATAACTCAGTTACAATTTACATTGATCGAATTTTTAAATCCTAAAATTTAAGCGTGAAGTATTCCGACCAATCAGGGAGCGGTCTAAGACAGCCTCAATGGGTTATAACGAAGCAGTTGATCTACATATACGTAGATAATAAATATGGTAACACATGCCTCCAGCAAGAATGCAACCCAGTGTAAAAGCTAGATTCTGATCGTGAAAGGGAAACCAACTCACCGACAGGTCCATTGCAGCCACGGGTTCCAAGTTTCAGTTGAATCCGCAGAAGAATCTCGTAGCCTCGCTCACAGTCCGGCACGGCCCCAGCAGCAGTGGAGTAGACAGATGGATCGATCTGCAACGTAAAATAACATCCATTGACCACAACAAAGTCCACGGAATTCCACCCGCATGAGACGATCATAAGTTCGGGAAAAGAACGAGAAACTTTGAAAAAGATGGCACGTTTGCCGCATAGTACTAAGCACCGAGGAAAGATCCACAATAAGGGTGCAAATAGCTGGACAGGAAGTTCGAAAGAACACTCCGATAACCTAACTATCTATTGTAGGACTTTCAAAGAAAAGCAGCTTGCTACAACAAAGTATTTTGAGCGTTGCATGAACTTAAAAGGAAAGTTGATCCAGGAAGCGGAAGAAGGGAATAAATAACTTGACTTATCCCCAAATTGAGTTTTTATTTTATTATTGTGCCTTAGAATGGTTTACATCATTACACCAAATTTTTTGACTGAATTCCAAGCAGTTCAGGAGAAAATCCACATGGAAAAAGGGTATAACTCAACTTAACCCCTTTTACAGTCTAAATTTCATTGGAAAATGGAGATAACTCAACCTTAGTCTACATGAGTCCGTTTGACAAATTGGCAAAAGGATATAACTCAACTTGTGTTTTTATGAATCTAGTGTAAAAAGAATCAACTCAACTTAACCCCCCTTTAATTTTAAATTTCAATTTGGAAAATAGAGCTAAGTCCAAAAAATACACCAGAGTAACATACACTTGATGCAGACTATTGTTCCACTTGACTTGTCTCCAAATTCCACTTTGTTTAGGATATATAAGGTGAGCTGACTCTGTTTTCCATTTCAACGGAAAGTGATAAGCCGCAGAAATCCTCTACGGAGTGACCTTACACTTTTGATTTTTTTCCAAAATTTTACTAATGCTTTTTGAAATTATTAACATCTGCAACATTCATTTGTTATGTTTTAGTTTTCCCTGCTAACAGTTTTTTGTTTCTCCTGAAAAATGGCCAAAATTGAGTTATCCCCTTCTTCCGCTTCCTGGATCAGTTTTTCGTACGAACAATTTCGTCGTCTAGCTAAGTACATTAGACAGAACAATGTATGCTAAATATACTACGCGAGGTTTGAAGCGTGAAATCAAGAACAGACGCCGGTCAGCGGAAGCGGCAGAACGGCGACGCAGACGCTCATTCTCACTTCTGGATTATTCCAGCGGACTCGAAAGGAAAATGAAAAGGCGAGCGGGCCGCTTCCGTTTGAGTCACAACAGACGACAGAGGATATCGCCGAAAATCTCTTTTAGGTGTCTGTCAGATTCAATGTGAAACATAACATTTAAGACTCATGCGAGTGCAAATACCATGAAATTATACCCCTCGGTTGATAGACAACCCACGCGTCGTTTGTTGAGACCCAACCGGAAGTAGTCCGCGCACATTTTGTTTTCCTCGGGTCCACTGAAGACGTGTAATACGCATGCTTCATTCGGGATTTCTTTTCAACTTCCGTCCAGCTCTTCTCTGAAGTACCCAGTTGCAGTATCCATTAACATCCACTTTTGCAGTACTCTGCAAACTGAAATGTGTGCATGGCACACTCTATTTGGAGCATGCCAAGAAGCACGCTTTAAATTGGAGCGTGCTTGCCAGGCACGCTTTAAATTAGAGTGTGCTTACCAGGCACGCTCTAAATTAAAGCGTGCCTGCCAGGCACACTCTATTTTAAAGCGTGCTTAGCAAGCTCACTCTAAACTACAGCAACCACACTCCTGAATGCTCGTAATGGTTTTTATTTTTTAATTATTTAGAGCATAGTAAATGCAACGTTTACAATTTGGAGCATAAGTGCATTTTCTCATGAGTTTGAATTCCGGAGAGTAGTGACTTACACGAGCACCGCTCAAACAGACTTAAATCGTGCTTGCCAGTATCAAAAAAACTCTAGACATTTTAGAAGCGTTGCCGTGCAAGTCCCCACTCTAAACTAAAGCAAAACGAGGTCATCCGAGAGTCGCCTCGTACGATGATCTCGAATTTTTTACATTGAGGTTTTAAATGTGTATAATCACGTTTGCCGATTTGTATATTTCCAAGGATTTGACGATATTCGATGCTTTATACATGCAAGTAGTTTCGAAAGTCGAGCGGAGAACTTTGCTGACTTGAATACACGATCTCAATCCAATGACTCGTCAAAATGTTGCACCACTCAGGGAGGTATGTCGCTTATCGAAGAAACGTTGCGACGGTCATGACCTTTCAATGCTTTCCGCCGTCCATCTGTAGTTTAGAGTAAAAGCTTGCTAAGCACGCTTTAAAATAGAGTGTGCCTGGCAGGCACGCTTTAATTTAGAGCGTGCCTGGTAAGCACACTCTTATTTAAAGCGTGCCTCTTGGCATGCTCCAAATAGAGCGTGCCATGCACACATTTCAGTTTGCAGAGTAGTCGTCTAAGTAGGTTTAAATTAACTGGAAAGCGGCTGAGACGACGGTTCACTTGTCCACCGATGAAGTTTGCACTGGAAGAATAATCAGAGTGTGATACTCTAACGCAGCAGCAAACCAGAAGTGCTGAGATCAAAACCGGAAGCTCCAGCCCAGTCCCCCCGATTGTTCGTTTGAGGGAAAAACAAAGAACGAATCCACTTGGCGGTTCCATCAGAGCAAGGAAGAAGAACCATAAACTGAAAACTGTCCCCAAAAGAACCTAACCTTATTACAATACGTGCTATCTTAGTTACTGACAGTTGCTTCTGAATAATTTCAGCTTAGATTCATGGTTGTAGCCCACCGCAACCTCAAAACATGACGATATGGAGAACTGGCTCCGGTGCCAGGTGTTCCTGGCAATGTCCATCAACCGCTTAATGTCCACTTAGAACTGTCTGAGAGGTTATGTTGACGGGGCCAGTTCCGGCTTTGTTATTCTTCTTGTTCTTCGATCGGCCACGACTAGAATACTCTATTACACATGAGCTCGTGATGGGAATGATAATCGACGCGTAGATCCTTGGCAGTGTGCTTTCGACTTCCGCTGGTTCCGCACCGGAAGTCAAGTGAAGCCGCATCGGCCGGGACTGTGCGACCCCCTCCCTTGACGAGGCGTTACGCAGGCAGGGACCCCTAGCCCACTCCCACAGCGTAGCGCAGCGGAGAACTTACTCGCGTAACCACTATTTTTGCCGTTACTCACTGTTAGAACTTCAGACATGTTCTCTCACACCTGAGATGTTCTACGTACCGTTACGCCGGCTCGGATCCCCCGACCGAAGTGATAGGCTACTCCAACGAATCTTCAGACGGAAGAACACTGACAGAGGTGAGGCCTAGAAACAGCTCCTGCGCATGCTCAGACGTCCCCCCTCCACCCGGTGCGCAAGCGCCGAAGCAGGTTTTTCAGACTAACTTTTGTACTTCCTCCGTTTCAAGATTCATTGGAGTACCCTAAGCCGCAGCTTTGCGCAGCTCGACCCACGAAAAGTAACACATTACACGCACTCTTAAAAGTCTGCGAAGCATTTGCTTCATAACTACAAAGAAAATGAAGGCTGTAGAATTACTTGGTAATATGAAGAAATGCTTCGTATTACGCAGGATTTTGCTTCATAATACGAAGCATTTCTTCGTGGATTTTACAATGCCTTCATTTTCTTCGTAATACGAAGCGACTCTCCGTAGAGTTTTTACTGTGCGGACGTCCTCATACCTTGTTTGTGACCGCGAAATAACACGCAGCACACATGTGAACTAGCAGCAGATGAGCTGGTCACATCATCTACAACAACTTCGTAAGATGAATGGCGACTTATTGGACTACCGTCTTGATTACAGTTCACTGAGCACTGAATCACATTCGTGAATGGTACTAAGTACCACTAAGGTAACATATGGCTGGTTCACATCCGAACGAATGTGACACACAATGCTATAAGGAATGTGACATTTTCTCATATTCGATTCAACGTGATGTTTCGTACTTGGAATGAGCTTCATTGTGTTGAACTTACAGTTTGAAGCAGTCTTGGCGTCTTCGAACTATTGAACTGGACGCGGACGCTCAAAGGCGAAGCAATCACATTCAAAGCGGAAGGTGAAATGAAATGATCCATTGGCCGGCCAAGGCGATCTTTGACCGGAAAAGTAAGACGGGTGTCGTTTCAAGCACTCGGATAGGGTACTTTCGTAGAATCCTGAACCGGAAGCAAGCAGACCAGCAGACGCCAAATCGGCCGGAAACTAACCTCTCTTCGGATCCGAAACTATATCCGAGCTGTACAAATATTGCTCGTGAAACACATATGCACTGCAATCAAGTATCAAACGACTGTTTATGTTCAAGTGTGGCCGATACCTTTGACGAACGTCTCTTTCCCATGTCGTTTGGATCTACTTCCGCCAACATGGCGTCTGTGTGCTTCCGGTTCAGGGATCTACGAAAGTACCCTATTCGTTGTTTTGCCTACCCGACCCACGAAACACGCTGCAACTCGTATGATGATTGAATATTCTTCAAGTGGAACCCCTTAAAGAAGCAGTTAAGGACTCAAATATTTAGGCCGGGCTTAACATTATGATTCCTGCGTTGAAACCCCGCTTGAAGGCAATCTGTTTAAAGGGCCTGCCGAAGGCAGGTTGGACCCGCAGGTCAAGGTAGGTGTACTGCAAATCCAAGTGTAGTACAGGTCGACACTCTAAGGCGTAGACCAGTTTGTCGTACGCTTGCAAGTGTCGACGACACTGCGCCGACGCCTGCATGTGTAGTTATAGGACATTGTTTGTCCTACGGCAAATTACACGAGTTTCCTATTGTGGCCCCACTCTAAAGCCGTCGGACATGCTGTGGTCGACACTTGCAGGCGTTGGACACTGTGTGGTCGACACTTCAAAGCGTCGGACACAACTGGTCGACACTTGCAAGCGTAGGACAAACTGGTCTACGCCTCAAAGTGTCGACCTGTCCTACACTTGGATTTGCAGTGTGAAACGCCGGGGCCACAATAGGAAACTCGTGTAATTTGTCGTAGGACAAACAGTGTCCTACACATGCAGGCGTCGGACAGTGTGGTCGACACTTTAGAGCGTCGGACACAGCTGGTCGCAGATGCGAATCAGCGAGTTACGTCGAGGCGCAGTCTGGCGTACACCTACCTAGTAGCAGGCTCTGGTTATTCACGGGCTGGATGTAACGTTACGCTAGCTCTGACACCCCGTTCCCCCACGTACCACACCAAACGCCCATCAGTAGTTGGCATTTTACGAACGGGCGCTTCACATTGCAAACAACCTGTTTGTACGCTTTCAAACACTTTACCATTTCGTACTACGATCAGACAAAAAGGGTGTTGCCAGACAGACACTCCAAAAGTAGCTTAAACTCGCCAGTGTGCCTCAGCTGTTGCATTTCCTTGTGCCTACTTGGCATCTTCTCGCCGCAGCTTTTGCGTGACTGCCTACACTCGTGGGATTTGCTCGGAACGTCAGAAACGGGGCTGGAATCCTGATCAAAATTCGCGCACCTCAGAGTTTTTATTCTGACATTGAGTTGAACTCAGGCAATCAATATCAGGTAACGTTTTAGAATCTCAGCTTTCAGAGGTGCGCGAACTTCGATCAGGATTTTAGACATGTTTCTGAGATTCTGAGAATAAAATTTACCTCAGTGTAGTAGGCAGCAGAAGTCGCAACCTGAGGCTGCCTGAGGCAAACCGGTGTTCACAGTCCTCGGCTCAGTCTTCCTATTGCCTAACCTACTGACTACATTGAAGCCACACTCTTCGTTAGGTTCTCAGAGTGGTGGAGATGACGCCTAGTTCCCAGAGCGGTCTTGGACAATTCGTCCCCGAAAATTGGTCCCCGGACTATTCGTACCCCTCATTTCGTTTGCCGTCCCAAAAGTACTTGGGATGAATTTTCGGGGACGAATTTTCCGGATCCCCCTCAGAGTTCCAACAACTGGTCTTGTTCCAGGTTGGCGGCGTTCGCATCGAGTGACGTGCAGTGATTCTGATGAGAAGACGATGCGTTCCAAGTGCGCTGTCTGTTCCAAACTTTGCCATTCTGCAGGCGCACTCAAGGTTCATGTCAGGATCCACACCGGCGAGAAGCCGTACGAGTGTACCATCTGCAAAAAGAAGTTCAATCAAAGAAGTTACCTCCGAACGCATCTGCGGATCCACACCAATGAGAGGCCCTTCGAGTGCACCGTCTGCCACAAGAAGTTCCACCAGTCTACGTCCCTTCGGACGCACCTCCGCGCCCACACTGGGGAGAGGCCCTACGAGTGCACCATCTGCAAGAAGACCTTCGTTGTGGCAACGCTACTGCGGACGCACCTTCGCATCCACACTGGGGAGAAGCCATACAAGTGCTTGGTCTGCGGTAAGAAGTTTCGTCTCAAGGGATCCCATCGTGAGCACCTGCGCACCCACACTGGAGAGAAGTCTTTTGAATGCACGATTTGCAAGGGTAAGTATGGCCAGGCAGACCATCTGAAGAGGCACCTCCGTATCCACACCGGGGAGAAGGCTTTCGAATGCACGGTGTGCCTGAAGAGGTTCGGCTTGGCATGCAGCCTCCGAGCGCATCTTCGGATCCACACTGGAGAAACGCCCTTCGAGTGCACGGTCTGCAAAAGGAAGTTTGGTCGAGAAGAAAACCTCCGCAAGCACCTCCTTACCCACACTGGGGAGAAGCCTTTCCAGTGCGTGGTCTGCAACCGAAAGTTTACGTGGGCTCAAAACCTCGCTATGCACGTTCGCACCCACATCGGGGAGAAGCCTTTTGAATGCACGGTCTGTGGGAAAAAGTTCATTTCTCAATCGGACCTACGAAAGCACCTCCAAACCCACACCGCTGAAAAGCCTTTCGAGTGCGTGGTTTGCAATACCAAGTTTACTACGAAACCTGAACGACAGAGGCACTATCTGACCCACACCGGGGACAGGCCGTACAAGTGTACGTTTTGCTCAAAGAAATTTGGCAGGGAGGATGCGTTACGGGTGCACGTCCGGATGCACACTGGAGATACTCCCTTTGTGTGCACGGTCTGTCAGAGGAAGTTCCTCTCAGCCGGGTCCCTTCGAACGCACCTCTTGATCCACACTGGGGAGAGACCTTACAAGTGCACGGTCTGCAAAAAGACGTACCTCCAAGCCGGAGACCTGCGGGCACACGTGCGCGTTCACATTGAGGAACTACCCTACGAGTGTACCGTCTGCAACAAGGGCTTCATCCGAGCCAAAGACCTCCGGGCGCATGTCCGCACCCACACGGGAGAAAGGCCTTTCGAGTGTACTGTCTGCAGCAAGACATTTGTTGAAGCCCGAGACCTTCGGTCGCACGTGTACGTCCACTTGGAAAAGTCTTTCGATTGCACGGTTTGTCAGAAAACGTATGGTCGGGCTGACCACCTCAAGAGGCACGTCCTCATCAGTCACGTCAAAGACAGGTCCTTCCGGTGCACGGAATGCCTCAAAAGCTTCAACGACGAAAGCGGACTCCGAGCGCACCTCTTCAACGCCCACGTTGACGAGAAGCCGTTTGAATGCACGGTCTGCAGTAAGAAGTTCTATTTGGAAGGGTCCCTTCGCACGCATCTGCGCATCACCGGCGAGCAGCCTTCAATGAGCAGGGTTTGTTCGAGCACTGGGCACCCTTACAATACGGTACTTCGGAGAAGCTCTGGCCCGAAAGAGGAAGAACAGAAACGGAAGTAAGAAATGGCAGATTGTATTAGAAATACACGCTGCCGATGAGGTTTAGGGCCCATCCGCAGTGTATACTTCTCATAGAAACTGCCATTTCTTACTTCGTTTTTGTTCTACCGGGCTAGACGAGGGGCTAACAACTTGAATTTGGGTGTACATTTTCCTTCAAACAACGTGAAATGACGTTGAAATAACGTTGAAATAACGTGAATTTACGCGAAATAACCTGAATTTGAAATGATGGTGTACAAATTTTGACGAAGTTGTTTGCCCCTCGGGGCTAGAGCTCCTCCGAAATACATACCCTATTTCGTGCGAAAACGCGTACACATCTGTACGTACACTGCAATTCAAATGGTGAGACATCTCACCAATTTTCGGCGATATAAAATGTATCACCGAAAAGAAGGTCGTACACGAATGTATCACCGAAAAAATGGTCGTACACGCACATATCACCGAAAAGGCGGTCGTACGCAAATGTATCAACGAAAAAAGGTGAGACACCGTCGAGATTGGCCTTTGTTTTGCTGGAGAAGTATCATCCTTTTTTCAGCGATACATTTTTGTACGACTTTTTTTCCGGTGACACATTTGTGTGCGACCATTTCTTCAGTGATACATTTAAGCATCACCCTTTTTCGGTGAGACAGTTATGGCTCACCCCTCACAGAGTGAGATGTATCACTATTTGATTTTCAGTGTAAGGCACGTATGCACAATGTTCATAGCTCATAGCATAGTTCATAATTTGCTAACTATTTCTTCGTATTACAAACTAAATAGCTGGTACCTTACGTATGCTCAAAATACTTCGTAAGGTTTTAGGTGTGCGAGGACGCACAAACGCTTTAGTTTTACCAGTGCAGCAGTTCCAAGGAGTTCCACTGCACGTTCTGAACTGATGGTTTATTTATTTGGCAGGGCGAAGGCGAGAGCGAGGTCAAGAAGGAGTTGGAGTCAGAGGAGAGAGGAGACGTTACCACGGACGTGATCGACCACATACCGCTGCTACACGAAGCAGTACGTGTGGAGCTGCCACCCAATGATTCAGGTAGGAGAGAGGGAAGTTGGTGAACGTAAGTAGAACAACGTGATTCGACGGATTCTAGATTATTAAATAAAGAATGCACCCCACCAAACTAAAGCGAATGCTTTTTCCGGAATCTTCCGACCATGCCTTGACAGGAAGCCACGAAGATCGCAATCCTTAAAGCCCACGAAACATTTGCGTTTTACACTGGTGAAACAAAGGCATAAAAATTATGCCCTCCAAGGGCGTAAACGATTTACGCGCTTCACTGGTAAAACTAAAGCGTATTATTACCCTCTGTTTTCAAGCGTAATCAGGTTACGCTTGAAATCAAGCGCAACAGGCCCAACCGCCAAGATTCCCCCTATCTAAATGCATGGGGGAATTTCCAGAGTATGCTTCATTTCAAGCGTAACGTCTTCAAGCGTAACTTCATGCTTGACTCAAGCATAGAGTTACGCTTTAGTTTTACCAGTGTTAAAGGGCATAAATCGTTAATGCCTTTGGGAGGGGCATTAAAATTTTGCTTGAAATTCCCATACCATTTACGCCCTTCCCAAGGGCATAAAACGATTTATGCCCTTGCAAGGGCGTAAAAGAGCATTAATGCCCTAAAGGGCGTAATTTTTATGCCTTTGTTTTACCAGTGTAGTTAAGAAAATAAAGGCGTTGCAGAATTGCTTCGTATTTCAAAGAAATGCTTCGTAGGAAGAATTTTGCTTCATTATAGGAAGCATTTCTCCCTTGATTTTGCGTGCACTGTAAAAACGGTACCTGGTTTTCCCAGGGAGCCTATGCTAGAAACATAGGCGATTTCCATGAAGTTCCTGGGAAGACCGGGAACCGTTTTTACCGTGTGATTTGGGGCTCGATTAAGAGATTGCTCGACTGAACGGAAGTCTAATTAAGAAAAGCTGTCTTCGCCCTTTCGTCGAACCGAAATGCCAGCACCGGTTGCTTCGCCAATACCTTGGTTCACCCTGTGGCGGACGCAACCAACCTCAGATTCCCAGTGTAGCTTGGAATGTGTCTATAGACTAATTCTCATAGATTTCTCGTTCTGCGGGCAACAAATCTCAATCAATTTGACTGCCACAGATCTCTAAAGAACGTTCTCTTTAGCTGCAAAGAAAACGGAGGATCGTAGCGTACGAAGGATATCGTTTGTATTACAAAGTTTCTTTGTATTAAGGGGGGAGACTCGTCTTTAACACCATAATTTTAGCAAATTGCAGGCTTACATGAAAACTATTTCCAATAGATTTGAGGGTCAGGGGGGTTTTCCAATAAAAAGCTGGTTCTCTAAGGTTCATTTTGGAAAAAAAAGTTTGACTCTAGGCCTCATAACCTAGGATCTGTAATCTTTCTGCCAAACCTCGAAAATACGACAAAAATTCACTGCGCGCATGATTTTTGGAGAATGCGGCATCATATCATAAATGTCTTTGTTCCTCCTTCAAAAGGACTCCCGGCACTCTAGATTGTACTAGGATAATTGAAATTGGTGGTTCCTAAGTGCCTGAAACTTACATTTTTAGGTGTACGAAAAAAAGCATTCAAATTTAAGCATTTCAATAACTGTTTTCGGCCACTTCCGCTTGTCCGATTGAAAATATCCTAGTTCAGACTGACGGCCTTATGGAGGTGAAACATTGGAAAAATTATGAAGTCAATACAATCAACGGTCTGGCTTAAATCGTGCGCACAAGACCCAAAATATTGCAATTGAGTAAAATGGCTTCAAAGTTTGAACGGTCTAACCTATCCTGTGGAAAATAAATTACAAAATGTCGTCCTCTGGCCAAACGGTTTTGAATTTCGAAACCAGCCAGCCATCCAATTCAAGCGTTTGACACAAAGAATTAAAAAACTCAAAAACAAAAATCTGATTTTTTGAAGGAGAATGACGAGTCTCCCCCCTTAAAAACAAATTTGTTTCAAAGAAAATATCCTTTGTAGAAGAACTGCAAAGAACTTCTTCGCAGCCAGCAAGCGTTCTTTGTAGGGTTTTACGTGTGTGGGCTCTGACCTGTTTCCTTTTGTTTGTTTTAAGTTGCTGGTTCAAAGCAACTACCTTCGGTCAAGACGGAACCTGAACCTGTCGACATCGCAGAGTTCCGAACCCCTGCGGCCGCTTCAACACCCGCAGCTGATGCTCCCTCCATTCCCATCAAGACCCTCCCTCCCGCGAGAAGCCCCACGAGTCCACTACCAGTCGCGCAGCCTCGGAAGTTATTTGCTGCACTCACCAAATCGATGGAGCAAGCTCGGCCAAGCCGACTGCGGCGACCACCCAGGCGATTCAAAGATTACATTGTTGACTAGGTAATCCTGCTGGTTGCCTGTTAGAACTTTTGTAATTGTTTTTTTAATACTCCGTGACTCCGTACTTCAGCATAGTGCTGATCAATTAATGCATGCGAGTTTTATATTTATCATAAGCATGTATTATGCGTTTTTAATCATTAGTTTTTTTGTTTATTTCAATATATTTTAAATCATTCATGATCAAGTGTTTTATTATCACAAGTTAAGTTTTACTGTTTTTAATGGTGCTGATATTTTTACTTATCTGCCTTAACGGAAGATTAATTCCAGTGATTTCTGTACCCTGAATTACACTGGTAAAATGTATTCCAATTTTTCCTTTACATCGGTGACACATTCCGAACACGGTTCAAATTTATTTAGTTAAATAAACTAATGAGTTTCATGCGAACGTTATTATTTTACCTCAAGTGAACCAGTGCGCTCGAATGCGCTCATATCCCGAGACATGACGTGAGACATTTCTTAACGAAGTATTGACCGCACTTAATGATAAGTAGGTCGCGTACACGGCACAAACGGTTCCTTGTTTTACCAGGAAGCCCCTCGACAAGCCATAGGCGATTTTCAGAGAAATTTTGGCAAAACCAGGAACCGTTTAAGGAGCAGCTAGAAAATGCTCATGATTATTTCGACGTCTCTGAGAGAAATTCATGATGCAACAGGATCCTTTAATAGCAATAAGCTCAAACTGGATTCTTATACTCTGACCAAAAAGACCTCTGAGGTTTCGCGGTCCAGGGCCGCTGCAATGGCGGCCAAGGTGGCAGATCCCCTTCACTGTGAGAAAAAATCTCAGTCAGTAAATCCTGTAGTGATAAGTACAGCTGTCACTGTAGTTCAGAGTACAGGATTTACTGTACTTTTCTACAGGATCTACTGTTCTTTGTACGGGATTCACTGTACCACAGGAGTGGAGTACGGAATATCCTGTACCAGGTGTACAGTAAATACTGTAGCCAGGCACGGCACAGTAAATCCTGTGATCTGAACTACTGCAAATCCCGGCAATGAAATTAACGGGATTCACTGTGGTTTTTTCGCACAGTGATTAACTTGAAAAACTCAGAGAGGTGTTTGTTTTCTGGTCAGAACACAATTTTAAGGTAGAATGTATCAATTTGTGTGTGGGGGCAATTGAGGTGTTACGTTGAGAATCAGCGAGTGTCGACCACCAATTTTACGTCTGAATAGCTTCTACCATCATTTGAGCCATGATCATTACTCTTTCATAATCAGTGTTCCGTTTCATAAGTGTCACCAAAGGTTTCTTTAAAATTAAATCACGACAGGACCTTTACACTGATAATTTATTCATAAGTGGACATTGTTTGTGAACGTTATTACATAATAACAAAGTTGTTTAGCAAACAAAAATGGTTTCTGAGCACGCCTTGTGGTTGAAAATAAAACAAGTTTCAACACTGGTCCGATGAGAATTAACTGTTAGTCTTAGTCCAAACAAAAATTACAGACTTGAAACGCGAAGAATCACAATTGTGTACTGATTACACATACATGAACTTTGCTGTCCACTGCAAATCGATTGGTTAGTCTGCTAGCCACATTGGTGGCACTCCGTTTTGAGTGCCATAATTTGGCATTCTGACCACAGAGCAATCCTAAACAGAGAATGCCGAAATTTGGCACTCCGGCGACCAGGAGTGGCATTCTCACCTGCATCCTCCGAGGTCAGGACGCCAACTATCGGCTTTCAAAACGGAGCACCACTAGGGAGGCAAACACTTTCGATTTGCAGTGTAGCAATTTCCTCAGGATAACGGAATCTCTCTCATTGTGACAAAGCCACCTACAGAAGCCACCCGAGCACCTCTGCCTTACGGCGGCCAAATATCGCGAGTCGATGCAAATTGGTGAGTCTCTTCAGCTTCACTTGGGAACCCCGTCGACAGTTTCAGTTGCACGAGCCACGGGCTAATTGGCTACAGAAGGCGGGCCCGTCGGAAGGACCACCCGGTAGCAGTCAGCCGGGCACTCAGGTCCCCTAGAATGAGATGCGTAAGCCTTCGGCTTGTCCGACTCACGCAGGAGTTCGTGGCATCCCCACTGACACCACTGGCAAGAACAGTCCTCGGCGGTTGTTGACGCTGTGCGGTCACGGATGTGCAGGCGGGGGTTCCGGATCAGAGTGCCCTGAACAGCTGGTCCATGCAGCCACGAGTGAAGACAGATTTCTCTGGGAAACGGAATTTTCAGCGTGGTGAGGCACGGCAACGATGTCCAGCACATAGCCCTCAGAAAATTGACGCAGTCGAACTCTATCGAGTTCATGCTAAGGGACGTCAGGGAGGAAAACTTGCAGAGCACGGGAACCACCAAAGCCAATGTTTCGGATAGGATTGTGGTTATGGTCAGAGATTCGATTTGAGACGCACTTGGTGACTCAGCCAGCGCCAGGGCGGGCTCAGAGGAAAAATTATTGGTTATTTTCACAGACCGGAGATTCGAAGCTCCACGCAGGAATTCCAGAGCGCCGGGAGGGTAAGCCTCGGACAGTGACATCACATGAATCGACTGGAGGTCGGGCAGCACCGCCAAGTGGGAAAGGTCATTGCTCGGGAAACAAGTAAGGGAGCGGAGGTTGGGAATCTGGGCCAGCAAGGTCCCGACCTGGTCATTTCGGCAGAATAAACACATTTCCTGAAGGGTGGCCGCGTGTGTCTCAAGCAGGAGATGGAGGAAGGGCTCCGATAAATTTGAACTGTAAAGCAGCTTCGTGAGGGACGGCCTTGTTTTCAAGTCACACCAGGCAACAGACAGTGACTCTTGAGAATAGTTCTGGATGCTGAGTTTTCGGAGACCAATTACGTTGTGGGTAGCATTTAAGAGCGTTGATAGAGACTGTCCAGGGGGACAACGATTCTCCAAGTTGAGACTTCTCACGCCGCTGAGCGCAGATAGCTTCAATAGGATGATGGTGGCCTGGGCCGCGTCGCTCTCGTTGTGAACAGTTATGCCCAGGTTCGCGACCGCACAGGTGGTACTGGGCATGAAGGAGGCAATGGTCTCGAGAGGTAGACGGGGAGATATTTTGCCGAGGCAGGGCGCGAGATTGAGCGCTGCGCGCAGCAGGCCCTTGTCCTTGACTACAGCAGCCTGCCAGAGGCTGCGGTGCAGGCTCAAGTCGCGGAGGCGCCGGCAGACAACGCGGCAGTTGAAGAGCTCCCGGGGAGCAAGGTGTGCCAGCACGGCCAGCAGCGTCTCGTCCGGCAGCGACAGCAGCTGCGGGCAGACGAGTGATTCGCCTTTCAAAATCCAGCCGTTCCAGAATGTTTAATTTAAGGGGGTTCATACATGTTAAGAGCACTTTGTAAAAACATTTTTTTGGGTGTAGAAGGATCAAGATTTTATGACTTTTGTATTTAAACCCTTTTAGATAATGGAGTAGGCTTCATTTTGCCAGAAAGTTAAGTGACTTTGGACACTTTTTGGAACTTTAGTAGCAACGTTTAAAATTTTGGTTCTCGTAAGATTGTGTTCGCATACTTGTTCAGATCGGGGGGGGGGGAACAGGGAGTATCATCCCTACTAGTGTCATAGAATTGACTGGAATCTGCAATAGTTTTGCAGAAAAAAATAAAAACAATTTTCTAAACTATTTTTTAAGAATTTTTTTAAAAGAACGAATTGTTAAAACTTCTTTTCTTTTAAACTATTGCAGATTGAAAGCCCATTCTAGTCAATTCTATGACACTGCTAGGGATGAGTCTTCCTGGTTCCCCCCCACCCCACACACACACACAGATCTGAGCAAGTCTGCGAACAAAATCTTACAAAAACCAAAATTTTAAACGTTTCTACTAAATTACCAAAACGTGTCCACAATCAATTTACTTTATAGCAAAATGAAGCTGACTCAAAAAGGGTTTTAATACAGAAGTTATAAAATCTTGATCCTTCCACAACAAAAAAATGTTTTTACAAAGTGCTATTAACATGTACGAGCACCCCTTAACGCAGAATAAATAACAACACAGTTGAAGCCTAACGAAGTATTTTAAGCATACAGTACAAACTAATTAACTTAGTTACACGAAGAAATGGTTTGTAAAGTTTTCTCAGTGTACCACTGTTGCGAAACGACAAAACACTGTCTTTAAACGAAAGAAATCAAATCTGGAACAAAACTTGGCGATACTTTGGAGTATTGCCACGATTTGGCAATAAACGTCGCTCTGCAAACTCAAGTGTGTGCCAGGCATGCACTTCTTGGTGCATGCCTGCAGGCACACACTTCTTTTCTGCATGCCTGGCAGCGAGGGGTACCTCACTTCGTCTAGTCAGTGTACACCCCTGACTCCAGTCACTGCCTCGTTTCAGTCTAGTCACTTAAAAAGCCAGCAAAACCACGTAAATTTGTCCTAATTGTAGTATTTTTGCAACGCATTTCGTAATATTTTCAATCTAGTCAAAGTGGAAATTGAGTATAGTCACCAGTCAGTGTACACCTATTTTCGAGGTGAGGTACCCCTCGCCTGGCAGGCACACACTTCCTGGTGCATGCCTCAGGCACACACTTGCTTGTATGCATGCATAAGCGACGGCAAGTGTGTGCCTGAGGCATGCACCAGGAAGTGTGTGCCTGCCAGGCATGCAGAAAAGAAGTGTGTGCCTGCCAGGCATGCACCAGGAAGTGTGTGCTTGCAGGCATGCACCAAGAAGTGCATGCCTGGCACTCACTTGAGTTTGCAGAGCGAACAAATCAAGGGGAGAAGACCTTAGTTAAAGCCGTGGTTTTGGCAATATCCAAAAGTATTGCCAAATTTTGGCGATACTTTTTTGTATCGCCGTTCTTAAGGCAATACTTTTCCGTAAGGCCGTTTATTGGCGATACTCAATTGTATCGCCAAAAAAATGTACTTTAATATTGTCGTGGCATTTGCAGAGAAGCTACTGACAAATTGTCAATACCATGTACTAAGAGTCAAAATCGAGTGTGAGAGTGTACTCAGCCAAGTATGCAACCGTAGATGTGTTCTCAGCCAAGTATGCATCTGTAGGTGTGCATACAGTACTTGCAAGTATCCACCTGTAGATGCATACTGGGTACATACTTCAGTGTCTATAATGTTGCTGAAGAAAACGACTCACCATAGCGCCGATGGTTCTAGAGACGCAGCAGAGCTTCCACGCAGTACGTTGAGGAGGCACAGCCAATGAAGCGCCGTCCGTCAGGGTGAAGCCTAGAACGTAAAATTTGAACACATTACTTTCTCAAAGGCTACGTTTGGAGAGTCTTGGAGCGGAGCCGGAGGAACGGAACCACAAGGTCTTTCCGAAACAATTATCTTTCCACCCACCCCACACCAAACAATGCACTTCTTTGAAAAATTAACGAACTTAATTGCGTAGAGATCTTCAAACATTTCACTGAGAATGAGTCACCACCTTCAAATGGGTGACACAATTTTAATGCGCAATTCTGGCTGACGAAATATTCACCACCCGAAATTTGGTAACCCACGATTCGTTGCCCAAATATGAGTGACGTGGTCAGCTACGTTGTGACGTCCCCGTTTATTACGTTTCGCTGTTCCCGAGGCTTTGACACTGCAACACTTTGGTTGTAACAAGGCTAATTTTCCACACAAAGAGTGTCACCAAGACAATCGGGTGCTTTCGTAGGTCATGGACCGGAAGCCCACAGTCGCCATGATAGCGGGAGTAGATTATCTAACATAGAAACAAGACGACAGTCACTTGGATCAGTGACAATTTCAGGCCACACTACTGAAAAAACTACGTAGAAGCGATGCATTTGGAGTGCTTGGTTCCCAATCTGAAATTCCGCGCGAGTTTAGGTTCCCGACAAAATGGTGTATACTGACTTCCGTTTCACGATCCACGTAAGAACCCTGTTGATGAAATTGTTGTCACGGGCAAGCAATGCGTACATGAACTCCTATGAAATGGTTATCAATCCGTAATGATATCGTCTGTATTCATTTGAAAGTGCACTATCATCCACGATTTTGACAGAAAGCGATCGACACATCCCTAAATTGAAGACTCACCCGATGTTACGCAGTATTCCGTCGGCCTAGATTTCGTCTACCACTTCGTAACGTCACGCAATAATAAATTTCTGCATGCACCTCCCAATAGGGTACTTTCGTACACTGCAGCAAAAAGCTACGGAAAATTCTGTAAACAGCTTGTGGTAATTCTCCGTAGCCCCCTTATCAATATTCTCCGTAGGCTCTTACAGTATTTTCCGTAGGACAGCACAGTATTCTCCGTAGGACTATACAGTCTTCCAGGTCCTACGGAGAAGACTGTGCGGACTTACAGGGAATACTGTACGGCCCTACGGAGAATACTGTAAGAGCCTACGGAGAATATTGATAAGAGGGCTACGGAGAACCCTGGCAAAAAAATTAACAGAATTTTCCGTACCTTTTTGCCACAGTGTAGAATCCTGAACCGGAAGCAAGCAGACCAGCAGACGCCAAATTGGCCGGAAACTAACCTCTCTTCGGATCCAAAACTATAGCCGAGCTGTACAGATATTGCTCGCGAAACACATATGCACTGCAAACAAGTATCAAACGACTGTTTATGTTCAAGTGTGGCCGATACCTTTGACGAACGTCTCTTTCCCATGTCAAGTTTGGATCTACTTCCGCCAACACGGCGTCTGTGTGCTTCCGGCTCAGGGATCTACGAAAGTACCCTATTATCAGGGCACCTCAAGCAAGAAGCAAACCGGAAGTCAAGTGGGAAATAAGGAGGGCACTACGCGGCAGTGGGTCTGCTCCCCTCTTTTCACTTACTACGTTATTGTTTCTTGGGAACGAAACTTAAAACCAAATGCAAAGAAATAAAGGAATTGTTAGACAGTTCAAATCCACAGCTGGATGGCGCGGTGAAGAAGGGACCACGAGTACAATCTGACCAATGTCTTACGAAGAAATTTCCTGTATCACGAAGGAATTCGCGCAAGCTTTATCAAGTAAAACTGAAGCATTGTGTTACCATCTGTTTCCCAGCGTTATCAGTTTACGCTCGAGATCAAGCGTACCAGGTTCCTCCACACAGATTCCTCCTATCTACTTGCATCGGGTATTTTCTTGTCCAGGCTCAATTTCAGGCGGAACATGTTCAAGCGGAACTTTCTGCTTGACTGGAGCATACAGTTTTGCTGTATTTTTACCAGTGTAATGATGCAAGAGCAGTTTCTCTTCGTGTTACGCAAAGTTTTTATTTGAACAGTATCGGTAAGGATCCTACCACGAAGAAATATTGCTTCTCTTAAGCTTTGCGCCGAATTCAGTCACATTTGTAGCTTGGACTTCATTGTCTGACATTTTGAGTGGCTGGCAGTAAAAAAACTCCTCACCTTTGACCTTACTTTGGCTTCTGCAGGTCAACGAAATGAGAGTGTTGTTGCGACTATTTGCGTGCAGATTAAGAAACGTTTTGACTGATGATAAGAATAATTTATCGTACTGTCTCGCACTTTGATCGGCGTCGGAGTCAAAAGTAACGACTTCCTGGAATATCTTGAAGTCACTCTTAGAGACACATGCATTTCTAAGCTCAGTTCGTTGGTATGCACGGTTCAGACGTCTCTTCTCCTGCCCGCAAATCAGTTGCTAAGAGAAACCACTATTCCAATACATTGCAAAGCGAACAACCTCAGCCAGTGTCACGTCTTTCCACCCCTTCGACATTTGAAACTTAGAGACTAGGTGTTCACTATGGAAGACTTGGGGTTTCACCTTAACGAAGCTGCCTGATCGTCTCCCATTCACTTGAATTCGTGCAGCTTGCAGGTGAAGAAGTACATGCAGGCCGACAAAAGCATCTGAAACAGGTATATACCGTACCACTGAAGTAAACCGTATAAGTTTTTAGGGGCAATTCCTGCAGATTTTGTTAAGAAAAAAAAACTGCCTCCGATCTTTGGATCGTTTTACGTTTGTGTCAGTTTTCAAACTTTCTGAAAACTAAAGCCTTTGGGAATTCTCCACGGGGCTTCGGATCGCACTTCCCGAGATTTCCCAGTTTATTTGTAACATTGCAAATCAATTTTGATTTTTCGGAGTTAAATAGTGTTTTCGGCAGTGTGCATGGCAGCACTGCAAAGCCGGTGGTAAGTTTGCTTGCCACAGATTTGGCAAGCCGTTTTGAATGCCAAAAATTGGCAAGCTTGGCCTGTTGATACCACCCAGCTTGCCAAAATTTGGCAAGCTTATGATGATTTCCGACCAAAGCTTGCCAAATATTGGCATTCAGAACGGCTTGCCAAATTTGAGGCAAGCACACAGTAAACTTCTTACGGATACATCCTATCTGTATTACGGACATTTTTGTGCAATTGCAATTACGGATAGATTTTTACGTCCGTACCATACGGATATTTTCGTCTGTATGTTACGGACGTAAAACTCTTTGTAATACGGATGATTTCATCCGTATTACAAGCAAAATCTATCCGTAATTGCAATTGCACAAAAATGTCCGTAATACAGATAGGATGTATCCGTAAGAAGTTTAGTGTGCAGACTTCACTGGCTTTGCAGTGGGAGTAGCACTGACTCTGCAGACTTTGACTTACGCCAGTAACAGACTCGCGGTCGCAGTAGCTTATTCCAATCATATTAAACCGGTTGTCCTGGCACTGCTCGATGCACGTAAGCAGCCACTGCAACTAACGAAAGACTCAGCCGAATCAAACCACGTTCGTCTTGACGATGTGAACAAAAATGACGCTCTTTTGTTCGACAATCATGCCACAAGAGTTTCAAGGTTGATTTACGTTCACACCAATGTAACACGATCGTATCTCAAATCCCACGCCCTATCAGCTGTATGTGCCCGAGAGAACGACAAGTCATGGAAAGTCAAGGTAACCATCCTCGTCGCTGATACACCCTACCTCGCACAAATTTCGGTGATACAGTACACCTCGCCCAAAATTGGGCATTGATCAAGACTCTTTCATCCTCAGTGAACCACCCCATGGTGGCGCTCTGCCGGTCCCTACTGTGTGATTACTTGATTACTTTCGTATTTCACTCGGTGACAAATGAAGTTTTGTTTACATACTACAGACGGACACGTCACGTTCATGTACATGTACTCGTCACGTTCATATACTGTGATATACTCTCTCCTTCGAGGAACGTGGCATCATGTTGAAATGAATGTGACAAAGTGTCACGTTTCTTGAGCATTGTGTCACATTCGTGTGGACGCGAATCAGCCATAAATTAGCCTACCCACGTAAAAACGAATGTGACACAATGCTCGAAGGAACGTGACATTTTGTCACATTCATTTCAACGTGATGTCACGTTCCCGGAGTGAGAGTGTAAGTGCTGAGCGAAGCAAAGCACGGTAAAAACGGTTCCTGGTTTTCCCAGGAACTTACTGGAAATCACCTATGTCTCTACCATGGGCTTCCTGGGAAAACCTGGTACCGTTTTTACCGTGCACAGTTTGAGTCAAACGTCCGAAATGCCTCCCTCCCCCGCTGAGGCATTCTACTGCACCGACCGTGAACGTTGAACGATTGACGCTGAGACGAATGTAAAGTCCAATGCATTCTGAAAACTTCAGCTCACCTCATTGTCGGCCAAGGGTCCGAACACTTGGCGATGCTTTACGTGGAGGCTTTTGAGCTCTTTTGCCAAGGCCTGGAACTGCGGCAGAACGAATTTTATCAATTTAGGCAGCTTATGAACAACCAGGGCCACCCTCACTTGAATGAGGGCACGCGGGCAAAAAGCGTAATGTTTCTTGGCAAAAAGCTTCATACAACTACGCTGGAAGTCAAGCGTTGGAAATTCTCCTCGCATTTAAATAGACGGAAGAGGAGTGGAATTGAACAGAGCACGCTTGAAGAGAAGCAAAACAGTGTCTTCAAGATTCCCCTACGTACGTAGAATCCTTGTTTCTCCTTGAGCAACTAAACGCCTCATGTCTCTTAACATTCAGAATTATACCTATTCACTGGTAAAAACGAAGCGGAGTTGTACGCGGAAAGCACAACTATACTTCAGGGCAAATTCCCCTTTGCGTCCCGATAGAGCGAATGGAGCGCGTGAACTCCGGTACGCCTCCAGATGGGCACTGAGAAAACCTTACAAACTATTTTAGGCCTTACAAAGCAAAGCAGTTTGTTAAAACAAAGTGTTTTGAACATACGCTAACAAAGAAAATTCTTCGTAATGTACGAACTTCTACTTCGTATAACAACATTAGTTTGCATTATATGTATGCTCAAAATACATTGTTAGATTTTAAGCGTGTGTATTAACACTGAAAATAGAAAGGTCAGACTTTCGACCCCTATAACGGTCTTACTGAAATGTACGACCGGAAAAGGGTCAAACTGAAATGTGAGACCGACAAAAGGTCATACTTCGATGTATGACCGAAAAATGGTCATACTTCACAGTGTATCACAGGTAAAGGCTGATATATCCCCAAGCTGAACAATAGCCAGTTTCGCTGATGTGAGACCTTTTTTTGGTCATACATAAGTATGACCCTTTTTCGATCATACTTTTTGTATCACCGAAAATCGGTCAGATGTCTCACCCTTCGAATTTCAGTGTTGTTGCGCCCTAGTTTTACAAGTGCTACTACTAGGTTTGGATTACCTCCGTGGCGGGCCACTGACACACTGAGATGACGACAACCACCAAGGCCATAGCGACGCCGTGGTAGGCGGCCACGGTGAGGTTGTGAGGGCTGCGTGAATCTATATAGAAGACGTTGAGCATCGTGAGGGTGTAGACCGCCATCAGCAGGACGCAGGCGCCGTTCACCTCGCTGCACTTGCGGTACATGTCGTGGAGGAGGAATTGTCTTTGGCGCAGCATTCGCCACACGTGGCCGTCCACCAGACGGCGGTCTTGCCAGGCCGCGCGCACCTGCCAAACATGCTTATTCATTTCCCGCGTCTATTGATTTTCTTAAGAGCGAGGTGGTAAACACTTCAAGAAGTCGTGTGTAGACTACACG